TCATGTTCGATTTTACGAAAAGAATTGTTGTACAAAAAGGCACAATTTTTAATAGAGATCATGTCGAGATAGATTTGAATCTTCACTAATACATTTTTATCCTCAATTTTCCTTAAAAAGAGATTACCCACAGTATGTTCAAACGTAATTCACTATATAAGTGAGTCTTCCCACTAATACATGATGAAAAATTTAATCTACCATTGAAGTAAATCGAATGAAAATGATATTGGTGGGATTTGAATATGGACTAGACTAGACTATTTTAAGATTAACTAGAAAAATGAAGTGTTGGGAATTATATGAATTCACATTCCATAGGCAGAGAAAGAGGTGGCCAAAACCAGGGTTCAGGTTGCACACGAGGTTAGACTAGCAAGAGAGGCAGAAGCTGCAATGGATCTTCATGTTAGCAAAGCTGCAGAAAAAATAGCACAGCAAGAGGCTAAGCAGACACACTACACTGACCAGCAATATGGAGAGGGCATGCAGGACCCTTACGGCTGCGATCCAGGCCACATTGGTGCCACCACTGACAACCCTTATGGTGGCGGTCCACAGGACCCCTATGGCCGGAACACCGGTAACCTTGGGTCTGCCGCCACTGGAACGGGCTATACCTCTAACACTGCAGGGGGTCCTCCAACTAACAACCTTCTCTGAAACTAGTGTTATGTTGTGTCATGGCTGAAGAACAATCAGAGAGCAGCTATCCTTATGTTTTATTTAGTTCTTTCTTTCTTAGTTTCTTTCCTGAATTTATCCAAGTTCATTTGAATTTTGTGTGGTCTGTCATGCAATGTAATGGAATATTTTTAGGAACTAGCTGCTTATAATGTCGCAATAATGGACCTCGAGTATGCTAAATTTTGATAATATTATTATTTCGGATTGTGTTATTTTAGGTGCATTTAGTAGATAAATCATTGTTCGGCTCATTCAATTACTTATGTCAAATGTCTTCACTAGTCAGACAATTTGATTAATCGTCTCATTCGCGAGTTGACACATATAACCCATGAACCTGAAATCTCGTATTATAATTTTTTTTTTCTTGACCAAACCTGTCACTCATTGGCCCCTTATAAACTAACAATATTGCTATGTTGACCAAGATTTTTTACCAATTTTTTTTATCCCAAGTGATGTAGCACAATTTTCACCATCAAATAAATGAGTCCCATTAGTATTCAATAATAAAAAATGTGCCTCATCACTTGAAATAAAAAACTAGACAAACATAACATTACTAATAAACTAATCATTTGATTTCATCCGTAGGCAAGAGCTTCTAATTCTCCAATGATTTGTATGATATCTAATTAGGAAATAAGTAAACATACATATTCTACATATAATATTGACTAAACAAGCTTGTGTTGTTGAAATCGAGTTATTCATATTTGACAACAACTCAACAAATTTATTATCTATGTTAGAGTATCGNTCAAATGTCTTCACTAGTCAGACAATTTGATTAATCGTCTCATTCGCGAGTGGACACATATAACCCATGAACCTGAAATCTCGTATTATAATTTTTTTTTTCTTGACCAAACCTGTCACTCATTGGCCCCTTATAAACTAACAATATTGCTATGTTGACCAAGATTTTTTACCAATTTTTTTTATCCTAAGTGATGTAGCACAATTTTCACCATCAAATAAATGAGTCTCATTAGTATTCAATAATAAAAAATGTGCCTCATCACTTGAAATAAAAAACTTGACAAACATAACATTACTAATAAACTAATCATTGATTTCATCCGTAGGCAAGAGCTTCTAATTCTCCAATGATTTGTATGATATCTAATTAAGAAATAAGTAAACATACATTTTCTACATATAATATTGACTAAACAAGCTTGTGTTGTTGAAATCGAGTTATTCGTATTTGAAAACAACTCGACAAATTTATTATCTGTGTTAGAGTATCATTCGCTCTCAATTTGAATTGAAAATCTATCAATTCTAATCTGGTTGGGTTTGTTTTCAATTTCAAAAATGCAACGAATACAATGGTCATTAAGAACCCCCCCACCCCCCTAAAAAAAAAAAACAAAAAAACAATTTCTCTTCTTTGAGTGTTACTGTTTTGACCTTTTCATAGGGGGCCAGATTAGGAAAATCTTTTGTTGAGAAATTCCCCCAAAATATCACAATCTTTTTAATATCATGACCAAAAGATTTTGTTTCTATCATACGAAATCTCCAACGCATTTATATATGGGGTGTATTAGAAAGGGGAATTGTATGCAGAATCTCAATAATAAGAGAGTGGTATTTTGTAAAAAATACTACACTAATAATTTTTATTTTTATTTTCGTTTTGGAATCAAAGTGTTAGTGGACAACATAAATTTATTTCAATATCAATTGAGTCAATTTTAAGACGACACAATTTCTAAAGCTAAAACACGAGACACGATCCAATCAATCCTATCATTATACAATTCCATGAAATTCCTATATAAACTAGCAGCTTAACAATTTGGAAGGGTCATCTTATGTATAAGTTCAGGAGGATAGATCAGCCTACTTACTACTTAGGTACATTGATGGATCCCCTCTCCAAGAATCGGGGAAAAACCGCGTTATTAGTTATGAATATGCTGAAACATTAAGGGTTCATCTTGCAAAAAAAAATTCAAAAAATTAAGCGCCACTTGCCATGTAAATGTACAATTACCTGAGCATACTTTCAGATGTATAGCCAAATATCAGTTTCTTGTAATCTAATTCTCATGTACAGAGCCTTAAGCATATTGCCACATTGGGTCACCAATCAAGCTTTTTTGGGGTAGCCTAAGAAACAAGAACTCTTTCATCTGTGAATGTTGAAACAAAACAAGTAGTTCTGTCTAATGTCTCAACCTGAAAAATCTCCTTGTAGACTCAAAGCCAGGACTGGTTTTGACCCCAAAAAATCAAACGTCAAAAAAATCTGAGAAATCACATAAAAAACAAAGAATTCACAAGAAAAATCAGCTGGGAGGTAAGCGATGGAGGTTGTGATGGAACAGAGAGTTTCAGATGACGGTGATAATGTTGCTCATTCCGAAAAGGAAGTTGCAACTTGAATTGCAAATGTTCAATGTTAACACAAATGGGATAACAAGTCTTCTACTTGATAAATCAAACCATGAGGCACTCGTCAATGAAAGGATTAGCAAGGGCCACATGTACGTGGTATTAATGTCACCCCCCCCCCTCCCCAACCAAAAAAAAAAACGCGGCAAAGAGATTGCGTCTATGACTTAAACCTTGATGCACCAATCATAAAGAAGCAATCTTAGTTTAAATAAATAATGCCCAAATTATTACATTATCTATTAAGGTAATTACTCGCCCGCCGACACGGGGGGGGGGGGTAGACTGTTCATTTCAGTAGAATCTGAAATTGATTTGGAAATAAGCACCTTCCTCATCCCAGCACAAGATCAACTATATATGTAACAACGGCTTTGACGAGTATAATCAAATAAATAGAATCTAAATTTATTGAACCATGACACGACGGATGTGACGGACCCGACATATTTCTCTATACATAAATGTGGAATAATCTAATCATCTCTCTCTCTCTCTCTCACCATAATTATACTTAAATGACAGAGGCACAGATAAGAAAATTAAAGATAATGAAGTTAATGTGAGGGTGAGCCATAGATAAGAATCACTAAACGGTCTATGACAAGGAGTCAACCTGAGAACCCATCATTCGAATCTATCACTGTCAATACACTTTAATATACATTTTAGTTATTACCAAAACATAACATTAACAAAAGGTAAATTCTTTAATGCAGAAAAAATTCAAAGATAAGCCTCTAATACTCTGCAACGGAACTTTGACTAAAATACTACACCTTTCCATGTAAAAGGGAAGTAAAACAAGAGGTAAACACTAAATATCACCAAATCAATTGTCATTTTTGAAAGTTCTGATTACACTTAGAATTGAACCTACCAAGATAGGGGCCAAAACTTATCATAGATATAACAGATCAGCAAAATAATGTGAATCCAATATTCTGTTGTCCAAATAAATGCCACCCATTCAAATTAATCGTAGTGTGACAATTAATACGTACGACTAATATACATATCTNGGGGGGGGGGGGTAGACTGTTCATTTCAGTAGAATCTGAAATTGATTTGGAAATAAGCACCTTCCTCATCCCAGCACAAGGTCAACTATATATGCAACAACGGCTTTGACGAGTATAATCAAATAAATAGAATCTAAATTTATTGAACCATGACACGACGGATGTGACGGACCCGACATATTTCTCTATACATAAATGTGGAATAATCTAATCATCTCTCTCTCTCTCACCATAATTATACTTAAATGACAGAGGCACAGATAAGAAAATTAAAGATAATGAAGTTAATGTGAGGGTGAGCCATAGATAAGAATCACTAAACGGTCTATGACAAGGAGTCAACCTGAGAACCCATCATTCGAATCTATCACTGTCAATACACTTTAATATACATTTTAGTTATTACCAAAACATAACATTAACAAAAGGTAAATTCTTTAATGCAGAAAAAATTCAAAGATAAGCCTCTAATACTCTGCAACGGAACTTTGACTAAAATACTACACCTTTCCATGTAAAAGGGAAGTAAAACAAGAGGTAAACACTAAATATCACCAAATCAATTGTCATTTTTGAAAGTTCTGATTACACTTAGAATTGAACCTACCAAGATAGGGGCCAAAACTTATCATAGATATAACAGATCAGCAAAATAATGTGAATCCAATATTCTGTTGTCCAAATAAATGCCACCCATTCAAATTAATCGTAGTATGACAATTAATACGTACGACTAATATACATATCTGGCAACACAAATTCAAATTCTTTTAACATACATAATTGAAGGTCTCCAGCACTATATATATTGGCCTATTAGGGGACATAAAATCCCACCATCTACATGCTCTAGTCATATTTTCTTCCTCTGAGTCATCCCCAGCCATGACTAGGAAGAAAGTGACCCTTGCATATATTCCAAATGATTCTGAAAGGAAAGCCTCCTTCAAGAAAAGGAAGAAAGGTATGATGAAGAAGGTGAACGAGCTTAGCACCCTATGTGGAGTTGATGCATGTGCAATCGTCCTAAGTCCGTACAGCCATGATCCCGAGGTTTGGCCTTCACCTCTGGGGGTTCAACGTGTGATTGCAAAGTTCAAAAACTTACCTGACTGGGATCAAGGCAGGAAAATGGCAAACCAGGAAAGTTTCACCAAAGAAAGGATCAGGAAAACAGAGGAAAAACTGAGGAAACAACACAAGGAGAATCAGCACAAGGAAATGACGAATGTAATGTTCCAGTGCCTGGCTGGGGAATGGTCTCGTAGTTTCAGCTTTTACGGTTTGAATGAAATGGGATGGTTTGTCGACCAGAACATAAGGGAAATTGCAAGGAGGATCAATTCACTTAAGGAGGAAATTCTTCCTCATCAAGGCATGACAATGAGGCATGGAATGAGCAGTGCAGAGATTGTTGCAGACACACAGATTGCTTCAGAGATGCCCATGAATGCAATGCAAAATTACCAATGGAACATGCAACCTACTGTCAGTCCATATGGCTTAGGCTGGGACCCGACCATTCCATCGTATGGTTACAACAGTAACAGTATCGGGCCTAACTTTACGTACCCCTAAGAAATCTTGCTTTCTAGGTGTTATGTGTTTCTGTTTACTTGACACAGTTGATGAAGCTCTTCCCCCAATCCACAGCCCTACCCCTCTTTTGTTCTTATATGTGTGTTTTGCTTGTTTGATCCACATTGTTTCTGTTAATGAAAGTCCTTTTTTTTATGTATTAAGATATTTTCAGATGAATGTTGTTTATGTTATTTTTTAAAAGCATGGAAATAATGGTCATTTGGCGCGCGCGCGAAAACACATACAAAGGTATTCTCCTCGGGGAACTAACTTTGTTGAAAGGATTTTTAAAAAATTTCTAACAGCCTAAATAAATTACTTTCCATATCTGGAATCAAATTTGCATAATACATATTCAATCCAAAGATTATGGTTGTTACACATTTGCAATAATGGTTATGAAGTAAGTGGCTTTGTGGTGAGATATCGTTTGCGAGACCCACAATAAATACGGTATTTCGTTTTTGATAAACTACATATTATTAGGTCATAATTAAAAATAAACAGACATCATCCCACAAAATTTTTGGCATTGATTATAGTATTTTTATCACTTCTAAATGATTGGAAAGCCATTTTACACAATATGTAATCTTNCATATTATTAGGTCATAATTAAAAATAAACAGACATCATCCCACAAAATTTTTGGCAATGATTATAGTATTTTTATCACTTCTAAATGATTGGAAAGCCATTTTACACAATATGTAATCTTATTTTCCTAGATTGTCATGGATATGTCTCAGGACTCAAATTCCTCCAATTCTACTTCATTTAATTTCTTTCAAGATGGTCATTCCCAACATATACTATCATATCTATTACATTTCATAGATGATTTATAAATTGCATTTTACAAATTACTCTTCTCTAGACAGTTACTTTGAAATACTTCATATACACAAAGATAGCCATGTGTAATTAATAACCCAAATTAAACCCTTTTCACACTTCAATTTCCATGACTACTCAGGTTATAATCCAAAATAATTACACTAAAATCAGGCAATTTCTATATTGCTTCAGTCAATCCTATTTCGCCTAGTGATTCAGTAGTCAAAACACATTGTGTAAAACATCCCATAACAAAGTAATTAGGGCAACCATATGAAGTTAGAGTTGAGTAGAACGCAAAATAGTAATTACCTGAAAGAGAAACCGATAGAGACGAAACCTCGGAGGAAAATTGAAAAATGTTTGAGAAATTCTCTGGTTTCTACAATAGTGGAACCTGTATATGAACACAAACAATGATAAGAAAAGGCAAGAAACTAAGATTGAATCAAAGAAATTGAGAAAGGAAATAAATCCACTATATACCTCAATTTGGTGTGTATGAACTGCGAACCAACACTATCGATATGCCAAGAGGACTCTGCAAGAAGCAGAGAGAGAGAGTGAAGCGGGAAAATACAGTGAGCGCTAAGTCTAACAATGAATTATTCAGTTTACTGATAAAAAAATAAAAAGAGTTATTCAGGAACTAGTCTTTTTTTTTTTTTTTTGTAATCTTGGATGTTTGAGCCACTTTATTTACAATTAATTCTCTTTTTAGCCTGGTTAAAAATAGACAATCTGGTTTACTTTATCTCTTTTATACTCATGTTTGAATACATATTTTGAATTCGGTATTATCATATAAAAATAATATCGATCTAAATGAATAATATATTTAATTTTACGTACAATATCTTAAACAAACCCACCATTTTAGTGGTTTAAATAGTGCAATTTTGATGTATTTGGGCAAAAGATATTTTTACATTTTAAATATCTTTAAGATATAAATATCACTCTTTATTTTGAGGGTATTTTAGTAATTAAATATTTATACATTCATTCAATACTCCATCTAAATAAAGTGTTAGATGATATAAACGTGAAACTCACTACTTCTCAATACTTAAACCAAACATAAAATGAGGAGAAATTATCAATATAATTAGTCTAAGGGCCGGATGGATAGATAAGGGATGAACAGTATTATCTAATCCGATTTATCCTAATGCTTAAACCAAACACACCATTATATCTAGGCCTATCAACAAATCAAATATGGATCGGATTGACCTATATTTGATCCAATTATTCGCTGAATTTGAAAAATTCAATTCATGTCTGAATACGTTAATTTTCGAATACTTGATCTGAAAATTTGATCCGATCTGATTACCACAAAAATACATGTACATAAAAAAATTAACAATAAGAATTTGGATAATGAACAAAAAAAAGGGGGGGGGGGGGGGGG